TCCGGTGAGACCTTGGTCGTATGCTGACAGGGAAGGAGGGACTCCTCTCTCCGGAGAGTGCTGTCTTCGAGCGTCTGTTCACCATGGAGGTGCAACTCAAAACGGCGTCTGTTCTCCATGTTAGTAGCGGATGATCAACATCGTCCTGGTGCCAGCGTTGGACTTTAAACAGCGCTGTGGACGATGGTCCTACGGCGAGATAATGGGGGTTGATGCAGGCCCTACAAGCCAGCCGTAAAAAACTAAAGTTTATCAAGCAAGTAATGTAGGACCGGAACAATCGGCATAGACCCAGGCCACCACAATTGGAAACTCGGAACATGGAACTACAAGTCTCTCAATTTCTTGAGAAGTACCCGCACTCTTTCCGATTTATTGAAGGTCCGTAAGTTCGACATTGTAGCGCTGCAGGAGGTTTGCTGGAAGGGATCGTCGGTACATACGTATAGACATGGTTATTACATCTACCAGAGTTACGGCAATACACATGAGCTGGGTACAGCTTTCATCGTAATGGGCGAAATGCAGAAGCGAGTGATTGGTTGGTGGCCAATCGATAGCGGAATGTGCTGGTTGAGAATCAAAGGCCGTTTCTTCTATGTCAGCATAATCAACGTACACAGTCCTCACTTAGCAAGTGACCATGACGATATAGACGCTTTTTACGCACATTTGGAACGGGAATACGACAGCTGCTCAAGCCATGATGTCAAAATCGCTCAGGTCGGCCAGGAGGAGGAATTCAGACCGGTTATAGGAAAGTTCAGCGCTCACCACCTAACGAACGCCAACGGCCTCAGACTCATCGATTTCACCACCTCTAAGAACATGGCCATACGTAGTACCAACTTCCAGCATAGCTTCCCATATCGGTAAACCTGGAGATCACCACAGCAGACAGAATCGCAAATCGACCACATTTTGATCGACGGAAGGCACTTCTCGGACATTATTGACGTCATGAAACATCGATTCGGACCACTACCTTCTAATGGCTTAGCTGCGCCAAAAACTGTCCGTTGCCAACAACATTCGGTACCGTCGCCCACCACGGTACAATCTGGAGTGACTGAAGCTGCCCGAAGTTGCAAATGATTACGCGCAATGCCTTGCAGCAGCGATGCCGGATGAAGGTGAGCTCACCGAAGCCCCTCTTGAGGACTGCTGGAACAACGTAAAAGCAGCTATTAACGGCGCTACTGAAGGTGCCATTGGGTTTGTGGAGCGGAATCGACGGAACGATTGGTTCGACGAGGAGTGTCAGACGATTTTGGACGAGAAGAACGCAGCGCGGGCGAGGATGCTGCACCAAGAAATCCGTCAAAATGTGGAGCGATACAAGCAGAAGCGAAGAAAGCAAAACCAACTTTTCCGAGAAAAGAAGCGCTGGCTGGAGCTGGAAGAGCTGGAGTGCGAGGAAATGCAGCAGCTGTATCGTTCTCACGAAACGCGCAAATTCATCGAGAAACTCAACGCATCCCGCAAAAGCTTTGTGCCGCGAGCCGAAATGTGTTGGGATAAGGAAGGGGGTATCTTGAAGAACGAACGTGAGGTGTTTGAAAGGTGGAAGTAGCACTACGATGAACATCTGAATGGCGCAGAGGCAGAGGACAAAGGCAGCAGGAGGAATGGCTTCATTGGTACAGCGGATGAGGAGGACATGCCAGCTCCCACGATAGGTGAACTTAAGGATGCTATCCGACAGCTTAAGAACAACAAAGCAGCTGGTAAAGATGGTATCGGAGCAGAACTTATTAAAATGGGCCCGGATAAGTTGGCCACTTGTCTGCAGCGACTCATAGTCAGGATCTGGGATACAGAACAGCTACCGCAGGAGTGGAAGGAGGGAGTAATATGCCCAAAAATATAATAAAGGCGACAAGCTAGAATGTGAAAATTATCGAGCGATCACTATTCTCAACGCGGCCTACAAAGTGCTTTCCCAGATCATCTTTCGCCGTCTATCACCACTAGCTAGCAAATTTGTGGGAAGTTATCAAACCGGTTTTGTGGACTGGCGATCGGCAACGGCCCGAATCTTTATGTTGCGGCAGATCCTCCAAAAGTGTCGTGTATATCAAGTCCCTACGCACCACCTATTCATCGTTTTCAAGGCCGCTGATGAAATGGTTTTCGGATGGACACAAGAAACTCACGAAACAATAATTATTTAAAGAGAGCAAAAGAACAACATGTTTTGTATTTAGAGTTAGTTTTATACACTAATGATAGTAACGGTAATAATAAAGTGAACACCTCAAGCACACTGCGTGAAATAAAAATAGGGCTGCTTACTGATAGAGGTTGCTTCCTTAACAGCTGATGCTACTATTGATCGTGAAGAGCTATGGAAGATTATGGACGAGAACGGTTTTCCCGGGAAGCTGACCAGACTGATCAGAGCTACAATGGATGGTGTACAATGCTGCGTGAAGATATCGGGTACGCTATCGGACCCGTTTAATACTCGCAAAGGACATCGACAAGACGATGGTCTTTTCTGCCTCCTGTTCAACAATGCGCTAGAAGGTGTTATGAAACGTGCGGGTTTTAACATGCGGGGCACGATCTTCAATAAGTCCAGCCAGTTCATCTGCTTCGCTAACGACGTGTCGGAAGAACGTTTCTTGCCGTGGCGGAGCAATACACCAGGCTGAAATTATTCATAATTGCCGGAAGTCATGCTTACTACGGACTCGACAAGACCTTGAGGTCGGGTAAACGTCACCCATGTACTAAATGTACCATGAACATGACACTGATAAACCCGGTAGTTCTCTACAGGCACGAGACATGGACGATGCTCGAGAAGGACCGGCAAGTACTGGGTGTTTTCGAACGACGAGTGCTTAGGACCATCTTTGGCGGGGTATGTGAGAACGGTGTATGAAGGAGAAGGATGAATCACTAGCTGGCGCAACTCTATAGCGAACCCAGTATCCACAAAGTCCCGAAAGCTGGACGGGTGCGATGGGTGGGACACGTTGTAAGAATGCCGGATAACAATCCCGCAAAAATGGTGTTTGCCTCGAATTCGGCGAGATCTAGGAAGGGTGGAACGGTTGGAAGAAATTGGAGACAAGCAGCCACGAACCGAGATAGTTGGCGTAACATTGTGACGCAGGTGCAATCCTGAGGGACGTCGGATCAGGAAAAGTAAGTAAGTAACGGAAATTCCAAATAGATTCGACAGAGCTTTCTCACATTATCGGTAAATAAGGTGCCGCACGGTTTCATTGATGATTACCGATGCTGCTGAGGGAAGTTCCAGGGAATATCAATGGTGTTTTCTTGCTTGCCGTGCGATTTCGGTGAAGTTTTAACGGATTTATCTTGTCTTCTCGGCACAGGAGGTTTCGCATGGCTCTGCAACGAGGTTCCACACGATTTTGGTGGAGATTTCTGAAGCTGCAAGCGGAGGTTTCAGGGAATTGCAACGGAGTTTTCTCGCGTTCTCAGTGGAGGAGGTTCTAAACGATTTCGGTGGATGTTTCCAATTCTGCCACTGGAGGTTCCAGGGAGTGTCGCCGGAGTTTTCTCACGTTCACGGCGGAGAAGCTCCGCTCGATTTTGGTGGAAATTTTCGGTGCTGTCAATGAAGGTTTAGGAAATTTCTATGGCATTTTCTCGTGTTTTCGATGAAGGGGATTCCGAAAGATTCCGGTGAAAAATTCCAATGCTTCTTACGAATGTTCCACGGAATTTTGACTGAGCAAATTTTGCGCGACTTCGTTGAAGGTTTTCAATTTTGGCAGTTGAAGTTTCGGAGGAAGCTTCTGCACGATTACGTTGGAGTTTTTCATTGCTACAGAGGAAGGTTGCAGGGAGATTCGATGAAGTTTTTGCGTGCTCACGGTGGAGAAAATATCGCACCATTTCGGTGCGGATTTTTTATGTTACTGGCAAAAATTCCAAGGAGCTTAGACATAGTTTCTACATATTAACTGCAGAGAGGGTTCAGAGCGATTACGGGGGAGATTTTGAGTGCTGCCAATGGAAGTTCCAGTGCGTTTAGACGGAGTTCTCTTGCGTTTTCGATGGAAGAGGTTCTGCACGATTTTGCGCCAAACAATGCAAACAATTTTCATAAGATTCCGAGAAAAAAAAAAACAAATATATAGACATATTTCCTATGAAAATCATACCAATAAATAGTTGGTAAAATTCTTACCAGTAAATGCATAAAGGAATAGGATGCAGTAGTCCCCATTTCTATACTACCGATGATGGTTTATTTCTTATCAGCAAAGATCGCATCCCATCCTCAACCGAACATCTTACACACTTAGAAAAAATCATGTAAATGTAGGTGCTCTGAGACTGACATATACGAGCGTCAATTTTGACTTAGAATTAAACTCAATTTAACGTACTTTTCGTCGAGTTACGAATTTTTCAGTCTCGGAGCACTTAATTTTACATGAAATAATTGTTAACGTCTGATCCTTTTGGTCAAAGATTGATTCCGTCGCGTGTAAAATTAGTTATTTCTTAGTGTGTAGTTTTGGCTATGCTTATTATATAAATCAGGACACTCCTCAACATTGATTGTCACTGCCTATTAAGCTCAAAATAGTACGTATGTTTTATCATGATCCTTTAGTATCGTTCAGAATCTCCATACTTAGCTATTCAATATGTTGTGAGGAAGATGTAATAATTAACCGCCCGTCTGGTATTCGGCGCGTAACGATAGGATCGATAATTTGACATGCTTCAATTTGGCAAGATAAAAATTTAAATTGTACTTTTTGAATAACTTTACAGCAGTTAACACACGTGGGGAGTATTTATTCTCAATGTTATGTCATTATTCCACTCAATTGTGACTTGTTGAAAAAGATCTCGTTTTTGGCAACGCTGAAGTCGCTGTGTTGCCAAAATCGAGATCCTGTTGCACTAGCAAATCAACAGGACTAAAACTGAACTAACCCAATTATGCTTATACCATTTTGTTCTTCTTATCTCATTTTATGACATCACATGATCGGGACCGGCAGCATTCCACATCTACACGAACAACACCATTCGCCAGTCGGACGAGATCCTGTCGGTGAAGTACGAGGATGGTCGGTGGTCCAAGCCGTACTACGACTGCGGTGGCGGTAACATTTGGATGCTGACGTACACGGTGCCTTTTTTCGGCTACGAAAACGGAACCTACTTCTTCAAGTGAGTACCATGATTGCCCATTTCTCGCTGTCGTCGTCGTCGTCGTCGTCGTCGTTGGAAGGTGCTGTTTCCGTCTTTTTGGTTCCGTTTCCCTTTCAATTAGGAGTTGTCGGTGACGTGTCAATCACGTTGTCAAGTTTGGGCGTGATGGTTTCCCGGGTGGAGGCTGACAAACGAAGGATTTTCAAAACGCCTAACACAACATGGCTTGATGGATGACTTTGTGTATCCAAGTGGACGGACAGCCGGCAACGAAGAACGAAGGCGCAGTTTTCGGCAGCAGGCCTCTTTTTTTTTGCGTCCAAAAATGTGAAGTGGACGTACATTCGGTGTCGGCTTTTGGTGCCAAATCTGAGGCGGCTGTTTGGGTAATTTAGTTAATTTGTGATAAAGGACGACGTGTCAATGTGCAGAAATGGAAGGCAACTGTTGATTGGACAGTAGGGATTTGAATTATTTAGATACGTCGGTTTTTTTTTTCGCAGATTGCAACATCCCCTGGGATGATGGATTAAGATCTGTCTTTTGAGAAATATCTGGGAAAATCGATCGGAAATCAACACATTTGTATGATACATGTAAGCCATGCCACTTAATTCATTCTTATTGTAGAAGATCTTATACTTGAATCTACGTATTCCGTGTAACTGTTTAAACGTGATTGTTAAACGTTTTAATTTTAACTGTGATAGGATGTTTCATATTTTTTGAATTCGCAAATACTTAGCGTTATTTATTAAGTGTTTATTGAAATATGTCCTGAAACATAAAGCATCCCTGAGACAAACTCTCTGATGAAAATGATTTTCATCTCGAGAATTTCATAAGGCTCGACTTATAAACGACACATATGAATTTAATAAGTGTGAAGGATAGATAAAGTAATTGATGAGGACCTAATTACCTTTGGTTGAAAAACATCAGTTCAAAAACTTACTTTCGCATAAGGTTAACCATTTTCCGAGCTCGATCAGACAAATTAACAGCTGCTTTTAAAGTAAATTGATCCCTTTTGAACATCCAATGCCGCAACTAGCTGGTGCTATTGGTTGAGGATAAGACATCCAGTATCTGCTTCTGGAGTATCTCCTCCATTAGGGCGCAGAGCTACCACCGGGTAAACTGTCCAATGAAAACTCATACACAATTACCACAATTTATGATCCTCTCAGACAAAATTAGATGTAAGCGGATTACGAGAAAACGAAGTTAATTATACCTCAGGGGGCAAACTGAGCCGTCGTCGTCTCCTCGGCACACAAACCGACGCAAAACAAAATGAGCCAAAAGCTTCTTTTCGCACAAGCCACCGAGCGTCCGTCAAGGCAAAAGCGAAGAAAAATCACCATAGAATCAGCAGGAAAATCTTTTTTCTTTCTGGGCTGCTCTATGTCATCTTCCCCTTTCTTTTCGGTAAATAGGTACATGCTTGAGGCGCTAGGATCGTAACAAAACAACATCCCAACGTAAGCAAACATAAGTATACCTATGTTCCGGACGAGAGTGATGGCTTCCCTGCCTAACGGGAGCTTTATTTATAGTCACAGCCACTTTAGCCATTTTTGCAAGGAGCAAACCTAATGTGTAAAAATACCATATTTTCCGCCCCATGACCACGGCTATATTCGTTTCGTTTGACCGTTGACCCATGATATCCTCAGTTTATTGTTTGTGGTTCAAATATTTTGCTTGTGCTCGGTGGTCGATCTTTTTCTCAACGAGAACGCTGGATAAGATTGTATTCTTTTGAATTTATTTGGGTACACAGAATTAGGGGGAATTAGGGGACATCTCAAACGGCAGTTGATGAAATGATTCTCAATGGATTACCGTGTACTGGGCTTTGATCTCACATCTCCTGACTGCATACATTAGCGTAACTAGCAGAAGCGCCAACTTCGTGGACGGCAAGATGTTTTGGAATATACTTCATTTATCTGGTTTCTCATAATTTTGTTTTTATCATGGTCTTGTGGACCATGATTTGATCTTGAAGAACGCTTTAAATTCTTGATAAAACTGCCAGGTTACCTTCTGTCATTGTAGTAACTGAAAAATCAGTTTGTGAAGCGTCATGTAATATGATTTAAAGTAGATTGCCGTAGATTACGTAGAGTGACAGTACCCAAGTAACAGTTTTGGTTTTATGAGGGTTCTGTAGACCATGATTTAGACTTTTAGCATGCTTTAATACCTCGATAATGTTGAGTTAGTGGATTTAAAACTCAGTAGGAAATGTTCTCCACCTGAGGGATTGATAAGCGAACCTCAGTGAGATTATCACCACCTGAGGAAAACTAATTTTATTAACTGGCTTTTTTTTTATACTCAGAGGGAAATTCTACCTCCTGAGGGCCAAAACCATTTGATTCCTGAAAAACCCCATCAAAATACAAATGCAGGCTTCTGGATTGTTCAAATATCAAAACAAGTAAACAGATTGGAATAAACTCCTTCTCTTTATTAAATACCTGTTACTGATACACAAAAATGTATTTCTAGAATACATAAGTTTAGGTAACCTCAGTTGTTAGTTTAGTTAGTTTAAATGATCTTTATTTCAGTTTAACTTGGACGATTACCATATAATTTTTTTTTTACTAAGTGATTTAATTGCTTTCTTCATCTTTAGGTATGGGCAAAATTCAAAATTTGTTTTACAGAATTAGTCCTAGACTTAGTACACGGTCGACCACCTTGGTGGGATTGGTTTGTTTTGTTTTTAGAATTTGAAGAGAAACTACTTAAAACTAACCTACTCTACTATATACACTTAACCTACTATGTACAAATTGCTTATTAAAGCATGTTCAGAAAGATTGCATTTTTGAATAAATTTAGTTGTCATATCATCAATTTTGGAATCTACTTTGGGAATTTCTGCCTCTTGATGGAGGTCTGCTATTCTTGTGTCGAATGGACGATCTAGGATCATCCTCAACACTCTATTCTGTGCAACCTGGATTTTGTTCCTGTGGGTCTGAGCGCACGATTCCCACACCGGTTCGGCATAGAAGATCGCGGGGGCTATGATCTGTTTGTAAACAGCCAGTTTGTTTTGCCTTGAGAGGCGGGATCTGCGGCAAATGAGCGGATACAAACACCTAACCAAGGCGGAGCACTTAACTAGGGTTTTCTCTATGTGCGAGCGGAACAGGAGCTTCTCATCGAACAACATCCCGAGATAAGTAACATCAGTGGACCACTCGACCCTTGTACCATCCATTATTACGGTACAGGAGGGAGACGGTTTAAGTTTTGGTGATTGTCTGTGAAGGAACATGATCGCTTGGGTTTTCGAGGCGTTGATTTTGATTTTCCACGTGGTGGCATAATCAGTAAAGGTGTCAAGGCATCGTTGGAGCTTGTTCGTAATTTCACGAGGCATCCTACCCTTGACGACTATCGCGGTGTCATCTGCGAACAGAAAGAACACGCAACCGTCTCCTAGAGGAGGGATGTCCGACGTGTAGATGCTGTAAAGCAGTGGTCCCAGCAGACTCCCTTGCGGAACACCTGCTGGGATCGGAAATTGTCCCGAAAGGGAACTATTCAACGACACCCTGAACGACCTTTGCTGGAGATAGTTACGGGTGATTTTCACAAGGTATGGTGGAAAGTTGGAGTTACAAAGCTTGTATATAAGTCCGTCGTGCCAGACATTGTCAAACGCCTTTTCGACGTCTAACAAGGCCATGGCTGTGGACTTGGATACAGCTTTGTTACTTCGGATGTTATTCATCACCCGCACTAGCTGATGATTGGTGGAATGCCCCTTGCGGAACCCGAACTGTTCCGGAAGAAGAATGTCATGTTCCTCCACAAACTTGTTTAGTCGGCTGAGGATCAATTTTTCGAACAGCTTGCTCAGCGCTGAGAGCAGGCTAATCGGTCTGTAGCTTGACGGTAGTGAAGGGTCTTTCCCAGGTTTGCGGATCGGGATGATTTTTGCCACCTTCCAGATGCTTGGAAAGTAGTGCAGCTCCAAGCATCTGTTGAGGATGGCAGCCAGCAGCGAGTGGACCCTCGGGCTGAGATTTTTCAACGCTAGGTTGAATATTCCGTCAAACCCGGGAGCCTTCATGTTTTTACTATATTTCAGCGCTGAGCAAATTTGTTCCTCTATAATCCGTTCTTCTGGAGGTACGGCACAAGGGGAGGTATCTAACGTCTGGACGCACTGCACAACCTGGTTCTCGAGTGGACTTGGGATTGTAGAGCCAAGCAAATGCGACTGGGCAATGTGCTCCCCAATTGCATTGGCCTTCTCTTCGTTGGTGATAAGCCGTTCGTCATTGACTCTAAGTGGTGGAATGGGCTTGGGGTGAGACTTCAGCACCTTGGCAACCTTCCAGAATGGTCTGGAACGGTCGTCCAGGTTCTGAACGAGCCGCCCGAAACTCTCGTTCCGGATTGAGATCATTCTGGAAGCGATCTGCCGATTCAGATCGACCATTTCGCATTTACACTGCAGATCCCCAGTCCGCTGAAACTGGCGTCTACGAACATTTCTGAGCCGAATCAAGAGTTTGGTGTGGGAATCAATTGCTTGAAACTTACCCCTCGCAGGAACTCGTCGAACGCACTCTTCGTCAGCCATGGATATGGCTTGATGGAGACTCTCCAGGGCCCGGTCGATGTCCTCCACTGTGTCGAGCGGTGGGTTGTCGTCGATGTGGCGGTCGACCACGCGTCGAAACTGGACCCAGTTGACTCGATGGTAGTCCTTCCGCTGGCACGGTGCAGGGGCCACGTTGTAGCCCAGCTCGGTCAGCACCGGTTGGTGGTCCGAACTCAGGTCGTTGACGGCAACCGGCTTGGTTAATCTGGTGTTTGCCAAGAACAGGTCCAGCGTCGATGGGTTGCCCGTCGGTGATGTGAAGGTTGGTTCGTCCGGAAACCAGACGGAATAGAGACCATGCTGGGAATGGTCGAATAATAGGCGACCGTTCTGGTTCTGCTGGTAGTTTCGCCAGGCCTCGTGCCGGGCGTTCAGGTCC